GGTGTGGGTGTGGGTGGGTGTGGGTGTGGGTGTGTGGGTGTGTGGGTTCCAGTGATCAAATCAGGCTGTCAGGCTTGGTGGCAGAAGCCTTTACCAGCTCAGTCATCCCATGGGTCACATGTAAGCAAATCTTAATTCTACTTCAACAGCCCTTGTCCTACATCGTCTCTAGGGAGACATCTTTCACTGCCTTCACTAAAAGTCTGTCTTGTGACACCCACTGGACATAAATAGCTTTGGACATTTACAACACACAATCTATATTACTTAATACTTGCTATGACTATGCTTTCAAAGGCAAGGGCTGCATAGTTTCATCTTTTATAGAACCCAAAATAACAAAGGTGATAAAGAATACACAGTACCTAAAGAACAATGATAAATTAAAAAAATACTTATTTTTACCTTCTCCAATCTGTCCAAACCCCATCCTTTGTCCCCCTTAAACAACTAAAAACACACACACCCTTCTCCTGTATATGAATTAATCACTCTAGGATCTGGAGTGTGTACATGTGTATTTGTGTGTCAGCTGAGATGGCAAATGCACTCAGAAGGTAAGTAGTAACTAGTTAGTACAACGTTCAGGGTGGAGAGCATTGAAAATGTAAAATCGAATTACTCCAAGCAATGGAGTAGATCAGGCCAATGGAAATCCCCAGTATAGCCTGATGTTTTTGGTAATACATGTGAATGTTAGGATTATGACAAAAAAAGAGTAGATAGAGGCCGACTAACCCACGAACGAGAGCCCTCATCCAGTGGCTGATGGAAGCAGAGACTGACATTCACAGATATACACTGAGCTGAAATCTGGAATTTAGTTGAAGAGAGGGAGGAATGAAGAGAAAAGGGGTCTGTACCAGTTTGGAGAAACCCACAGGAACAGTTGGCCTGAACAAGGGAGAGCACATCGACCCCAGATGCGGTCTGGGAGGCCAGTACAAGACTGATCCAGACCCCTGAACATGGATGTCAATTAGGAGGCCTCTGCACTTCAGGGAGCCTCTGGTAGTGGATTAGTATTTTTCCCTGGTGCAAGAAGGGACTTTGAGAGCCCATCCCACGTGAAGGTTTACACTCTGGCCCTGGACACATGGGGAAGGGCCCAGGCCCAGCACAGGAAGATTTGGTGGACTTTGCAGAGCCCCTGTTGAGGGCCCTACCCTACACCTGGGGAGGGGTGGATGGATGGGGTGGGGGATAGGTTAGGGTTGGGGGAGAGGGAAAAGGGACTTACATGTGAAACAAGCTTGTTCCCTAACTTGAACAAAAAAAAAAAAAAAGAGTAGATAGAATGGGGTTTCCAAGAAAAATTTGACAGCAGTTTTTGTTGATTGCTTTGTGGGTCTCTCTGAAGGTGTTTTCAAATGTGCTAAGTAAGAGTTGAAATGAATGAATCTATCAGGTTTTGAAAAAACATATTAAAGGGCCATGGGAAAAATGTAGTTATCAAACATCTTAAAAAAAGAAACACAATGAGCTTTTTTGTTTGTTTAGTTTCAAGCAAAGAACATGACTTACTCAGTGTAAAGGATTCCTCTGATAGCTAAAAAGGTCTCAAAGTCAACTTTTTGTCTATGCTGTTGGCTAGATGGAAGCAACAGCATTGGCCTGTACTGAGGCATGTTCTAACAAATCAAGCATGGATGACTGCTTAGGGTGGGGACTGTTTCCTGGATACTTGTCTCACCGATGGCCCAGTAACCTACATACTCATGTCACTGCTGAGTATTAGACTACCAAGCCAAAAAAGTTGGCAACAAACAGTTCTTACAAGTTTTTCTTTACATTTATTATTTTATTTACTTATTTGTTGTTTTGCATGCCCACAGAGACCAAAGCTGGTTCTCTCCTTCTACTATGTGGGTTCCTGGACCAAAATCAGCCCATCCAGCTTGATGGCAAGTGCCTTTACCTACCAAGCCATCTTGTTGACTCTTATTCTGAAGTAATTTATATCCCCATTATCATTATGAAACAACAACAACAAAAATACAATTTGACTTAATGGGTATTAAAGTAGTTACATGATGATGAATATTCAGGCTATGTGGACAATGAGCAAATTTCATGAGAGAAGGGAGACCTGAGATGATTAATATTTGCTTTGCAGAGAAGAAAAGGAAGAATGCTATATGTGGGATGTAGAGAGGGAAAGACACTAGCAAGAAGATGGAGACAGAAATGTAGCATCTCCTGGATCAATTAGCAAAGTCTGATTACATCAGAAGATTGAGCATGGCTGTAACACATACAGCTAACTTATTAAGTAGTATAATATAAGGATAAAAGATGGGGCCCCTAGGATTCTGTTCTATTTCTTTTCATAAACCAATTAAAATTACAAATGACTTCCACCACTTCATAATATTATACAGATACCTGCATTACTTATCTTGCCTCAGGATTATTTGTTACAGACAAAAGAGGATATTTGTAAGAGTAATTTAAACAAAAGGTATCAGCTACACAATACTAGGAACAGGAGACACCCATGACAACTACAGAATGAGAAAGACCTGATAGGGATTCCCAATCCACCTTAATTACACACTGAACTTTAAATTCATTGCCTACCGGTATGTATTTAAGATACTGTAAAAGAAGAATATAGGAAAGAGATGGCTCTAGTAACTAGATCCCTTGAGGGAATCTCAGGAGCAAGACAGGAACTAAGTCTATTTGCTGAAAGGGCAGTTAGGATAAGACTGAGAACAGTATGACCTGGATGGTTGGCATCCAAAGTGGGGTTGCTCTGAGCATAATGGATAAACACTTAATATCTATGCTGGAAATTATAATAAATCGGGACATTTCACAGCCACCTTTCCTAAAGGCTATGAGGACTCATAGAATTGAGAAAGCTAATTTGGAGTGTAATGAGAAAGATGGACTGGACTTCCTGACAGTGAAGGAGTGAAATCAGTAAGGAGGTAGGAGGTTGTTTTATAGGTCTATACTATCATAATGGCCTAAACCAAGACCAGGATAATGAGGCAGAAGAAGAAAGAGACAGGGTGGTAGTATATACCAAAAGTAGAATGTTCTCCATTTACTCATCACTAAAATAAGATAAGCCTTTATAATCATTATAGCTGTATTTGAAAAGAACCCGAAGATAAGGCAGATAATCACTATCTTACAAAACGGAAACAAAAGAAGCAACAGTATTTAAACTCCACTTCATACCTAATGACCTATGCATGCCTCCATTGCATGCCTCCATGTACTAAAGGAAGGATTTATTTTCTTTTTTTTTCAACCAATTCTCTGTTTAATTCTCAATCTACTATTGTAGCATTTCCTTTAGCTTTCAATCTGGTATTTCTTCTTTGAAATATATAGCATACACCAAAACATAAGCCTTTATTTCCTTTTCCACTTAAACCAATAGGTGCTTTCCCAACAAATTAGGCTGCTCTCTATATATTTTATAATTTTTAAGATATATTTAATTTTATGTGTATGTGGGTTTTCCCTCCATGTACGTTATGTGTACCACACATGTGTCTGGTGCCTGCAGAGGTCAGAGGGTATCAGATATCCTGGGAGTTCTGGGAATTGAACCTAAACCCAGCCTCTGCAAGAGCAACAAATGTCTGAAGGGCTGAATCAATCTTCTAGTCCCATTCTAGCTTTTTTTGTAATGGTCAAGAGCAACTTGAATGGATTCTTAAATCCTTAAAAAATATTTTAAAAATATTTTGGTTTTAGAAAGAGACTGTTAAATAGGATTCCATGATGGATTTCAGTGTATTTTTCAGTTGATGCGAAGGAGTATGTGGTAACTACTGAGGATCACACTGCAGCCATGAAGCCAGGGCTCCCACTCTTGTGGTTCTAGGAAAAATGACTAACATGGGTTCTAAAGGAAGGCAGCAGAAAACAAGGAATTCTCTGTCTGTCTGTCTGTCTTTCCAGACCCAAAGGACAAGTGTTTTTAGAAAACATCATGTACATTTTTTAAATGACACCGCTTACATTAATTAGAATTACAGTAGAGTATAAATCCCACATGGTAGACACTGACCCATAATAATTCCAGTGGTTCAATCTGCTACTCAGCCTCTACTCCCAACAGGTCACCTAGGATCCTCTGGGTTTAGAGCCACAGAAAAGATCCTATTATTTCACTTAGCTCCAAAATAAGCCTTAACACAAAGATCAAAGACTAGTGTTCATCATAAAGTTTAAAATGAGGGGGACCTGGCCTCTTAGAAAAATGAAGGCCTCAACCTGTATTTCTGGCACTACAGCATTACTGATATCTCTGTTTACTGTGGGAAAGAAATAGTGGATGTTAAGTGTCTGTCTGAAGAGAGGTTATGAGAATGGTAAAGGAAGTACCTGGAACCATCACAGGAAGAGGAAGAGAGGCGGGCATACTGATTACAGGGAATATAAACTATTTCATTTATAGCCTTACATTACTTCACCTCTTACTCTTAAATGTTTTACAATAAGCTAAACAAACTTATCAAAGTATAAAACAAGCTATGAGGGCATTTTAAAACAGTGTATTTAACGTTAATAACCCACTATATCTGTCTGTCTGTCTGTCTGTCTGTCTGTCTGTCTGTCTGTCTGTCTGTCTGTCTGTCTGTCTGTCTGCCTGCCTGCCTGCCTGCCTGCCTGCCCGCCCACTTATCTGAATGTAGCACATGACTATGACTTAAAGGCCTAGCATTAGACACACAAGAGCCAGTGTTAGTTTACCACCAGCAATGTCACAGCCACCTGCAGTATGGATCATGGGATTCCTGTCTTTGGCTAGTTTCTGAATCTATAAAATGAGGCAGCTACAAATGAATTCCATCTATAAATTCTAACACTATCTTTTTTCCTCTGCACACTTAATCTCATCATACAACCCGAGGTGGAATAACTCCTTATTAGGCTTTCCCAATGGCTTATGACATCCTATAAACATCATAAATTACTTTCCAAGTATGTATCCAACAAGATTACACCTACTTTAAAAATACTGCTTCTGAAGTACCAATAGTAACAAGGAAACAAGGAAAGCATGTGACATCTGTAAGATCTATATTTTGATAGTTTAAAAGAATAAAGAAAAATTTAAAGGTCTTTTATTTGTGATAATACTGAATTATATATCTCTATTTAAATCAAGAAATATTTAAATCTATTTAAAGCCATAGGATTTTAAAATCCTGCCCCATTATTTTAATGTTATAGGTATTTATTCTTACTTGCAAACGAAAGCCCAGAATGGAAATTGTGTACAGGCCATCAATAGGAATAAAAGTATATTGTCAAAAGAACACTGAACTATAGCCACTGAACTGACTTCACAGAGAACTGTTATGCATTTGAAATTAACACAAGGTATGTAGTCTCAAAATAGTTTAGCTTAAGTACAATGAAGACCCCAAAATTTAGTTAACTATTAGTACTTTCTCAAAAACTCATTTTACTCACCTTTGTCCAAGGATGTGCCTTGATTTGAGGAAATTTGAATTCTGTATAATTTGGGTTCATTTCTCTAATTTGCTCCCTTGTTGGTGTTCCCAGGACCTATATCAAGAAAAAGAAATATTACCAACTTTATCTATCTATCTATCTATCTATCTATCTATCTATCTATCTATCTATCCATCTATCTGTGTGCTGTTTTACCAAAATAAAGAATTCCAAGCAGAAATAAAATATAGAACACAATAGATTTTGTGAGAGCTTTTTAATTTGTATTTGTCTGTAAAACCATGCTCTACCACCACAGACTGATGTGCTATGATAAGAATGATGTTAAAAATCTGAGTCATTAAAATATCACTAGAAAATATTTCATTAATAGTTAAGAACACAACTCTAGTCCCAGGAGGTCCTATAACACTACCTGGCCTCTGAGGGCACCAAGCACTCCCATGCTGCAGACGCATATGCATGCAAAACACCCATGCATATGAAATAAATATTCTAGTAACCCCAGCTTCCTTTCCCATTGTTTTCCAACATGGTCTTAGTAGCTGTAAGAAGGAAAAGCAATACTCAAGTTGGCCAGGCCTAATAATGCTGTAGCCTGAAATCTGTTGGCAAATTTCAAACAGGGCCTTCCCCAAAAGTGAGACTCTAGGTTTGATCCATACATACATACATAAAAACCAAATTAAAAAAAAAAATCTAAAACTTCAAGGTAAAATCAAGCAGGTTCTACACAGAGAAACAATCAATTTTCGATGGCCACATCTGAATACGACTATCTTTTATTTGTGGAATAAAATGCATACTCAGTCTGTCCTATTACAAATGTCAATCAGGAGAAGCTGTGTCAAGGACTTTCATCATTTCACTCAATATTTAAAAGGCAAGACAGGTTTCAGGGAGATACCACATACTTGTGCGAGCGCGTTCGCAGCCCCCCCCCCCAATTACTCATCTTCATTACCTTACAGCCCAATATGAAATAAGTTTGTTTATTGAGTCAAGGTCTCTCTAGATAGCCTTGGCTAGCCTGGAACTCAAGAGATCCACTCAACAGCTCTGAGTACTGGGCTTAAAGTCATCTATTGCTATGACCAGCTGAAACAAGTTTACTGGGGAAAAAATATGTTAAATATTAATTTGTGCTAGCAACTAATGAATAATCAGGGATAGTTTATTCTGAACAAAGTAAAGATATTCTTTTCTTTCTTTCCTCCTTCCTTTCTCTTCCTTTCCCTTCCCTCTTCCCTTCCCCTCCCTTCCAAGACAGTCTCTCTGTGTAGCCCTTGCTGGCCTGGAACTCATGGATATCTGCCTGACCCTGCCTCCTGAGTGCTGGGATTAAAAGGGTACAGCACCGTGCCCAAACCACACTCCTTAGTTTTTGCTTGGCTTTAATTCTCTAGATGCCATTAAAACTTCTGTAACCTCAGTGACTTTTTATAAATAGACTTTTTCTTCAAAAGACTGTTAAGAAAACAAGTCAGAGACTGAGATAAGATTGTAAAACACATTCTTCAACATATCTAGACTTGTTGAAGGAGTCAGGAGCTCCTCTGACTCAGAAAATACTGAAGAGACATCTGCACTCACATGTTTACTGCTTTACAATGGACAAGATACGGGATTCGATCTATGTGCACACTGATAGCTGAACGGATACAGAAAAATGTGTCTTGTGTGATGCATACACAAAGGAGTATTACACTTTGCCATAAAACAAACAAACTTCTGTCATTAGCAACAACATGAATAGAACTAGGACATTATAATAAACTAAGTCAGCCACAGAAAACAATTAGCACATGTTCTACTTATTTGGAAGCCATAAACTGACTACTCAGTTTTTACAACTGTAGGAGCTCCTTAAGCACAGTGCACTAACAGTGGAGCAAAATCTACTCAACAGTAATGAGAGAACTTCCTTAGCTATGGCTGTTAATCAGAATTTAAGTGTTGTTTTTCACCTTTAAAACCTGCACTTGTGACTTTTAAGAAGCTTTAATTACTAACTTGTAGACTGACATTAAAAATCTTATCATTATTTTACAAATCAATTAAATAAATAAATATATTCCCCAGCACACTTTATTTAAAACCACCCAACCTTGAATTTACTAAAGGAAATAGATGGGGAAAAAAAGACAACCAAACATCACAAAATGGTCTAGATGTCACTTCTCTTGCTAAACACTGAACTAGAGTCATTTTTCTACTCTTTTAATTAGTTTTCAAATCTTAAAACCCAAACTCTTCCTAGACAATTATTTTTTTGTTGATGATTTTGATAAAGCAAGGAAATCAAAACATTAGAACATAAGTTTTTGTTTTGCTTTTTATTTTTTTTTAAGTGCTTTATTTCTAGGCTGGGTGTGCAGGTGCACACCTTTAACCGCAGTGCTGGGGAAGTAGAGGCAAGTGGATCTCTGTGAGTTCAAGGCCAGACTGGTCTACATATCAAGTTCTAGCCCAGCGGGGCCTACACAGAGAGAAACTTGCTTTTCTAGACTTGATCATGAAGGATTACAGAAATGAACAAATTTTAGATAAGTTGATGAATGACCTTCTGATCTATAGGTCACTGTAGGTCTTGTTTTTCCTGGAAAGGGCCAGAGCAGCAGTGTACATTTGTGAGCCATACTTCCTATCCGCTCCAGCTCTAATGCTGCAGCCCAAAGCAATCGTTGCATCCCTTTGGAAAGTTGCTGTTCATCCCTTAAAACCATTTCAGCTAGATCTGGTCCCATCCACATTTCTTACAGTATTTATTTATTTATTTACCCACTAGTTACAAATTGACCCACATACAGAAAACATCAAAACAGAAACTGAATTGGTATCTTCAAAGAAATAGACAATACCAAAGTAAGCATCTATGGAAAGCTCCGTAACAGGCATTTCTTCTGTGGGCTCCTAAAAAATAATTTTCTTATTTTTTGAGATTATACCTATTATCATTTCTCCTTTCCTTTTCTTCCCTCCAAACCCTGCCATGTACCACCCTACCTCTACTCCCTTTCAAATTCATGGCCGCCTTCTTAATCATTGTCTCACACACAGAGACAGACATACACACACACATCTCAGTCTACATAATGTTACTTGTATGTATATATTTTCAGGGGTTACCATTTGGGCTGGATAACCAATAAGTATGTTCTTCCCTAGGAAAGACTATTTCTTCAGCTCTCAGAATTCCTTAGTTGCCTACAGTTCTTTATCTAGGGTTGAAGCCTCCTAAGCTTTCCCCCAGGGCTGCCTTGAAAATGACTTGAACTATAGCAGTAGACATGCCCAGGAGGTATTAGCTGCCTTTTTATGGCTCAACACCAGAGGGCACCAAACTTCAACAATGGAGCTGTACATGCAGCTAGTTTTGCTTAAAGCTACTGTAAAGAAGCCATATTAAAAACATTACTCCTCTGCTTAAAATTCTGCAGTGGCTTTCTAACTCCCTGGAATATAGTATGTTCCTACAGTCCACAGCTCTAGATTCCTTTTTCCTGGTACATTCATATTCTATCAACCCCACCATTCACAATTACCATGCTGTAACTAAAACACACAGCAGACCTGATTCCAATTCAATAGCTAAGTACTAGCCTTCTTTCAATAGTGGATGCATTATTTTCTTGTAGAGCCTTTCCATATAGCACTACCTCCAACAGGAATCCAGCCTTTGCACAATATTCAGCCATCTGAGGTAATGACCACGCCCCTCTATTGCTCTTGGATGTTTCCTTCCAATCTATCCATGAACTTCTGGACACAATACTAAGACAAAGACTCAACAGATGTAGTTAAAGGTGTGAATACCTTGAAAGGCTTTTCTAAAGGATATGTGGTGTGCTGGCTAGTTTTATGTTACCTTGACACAAGCTAGTGTCGTTTAGGAAAAGTAACTCTCAATTCAGAAAACACCTCCATAATGCTAGCCTGTAGAGAAGTCTGTAGTGCATTGTCTGTGACTAATGATTCGTATGTGAGGGCCTAGCCCAACCCATCGTGGGTGGTATTGCCCCTGGGCTGGTGGTCCTGTGTACTGTAAGAAAGCAGGTTGAACAAGCCATGAGGAGCAAGCCAGTAAGTAACATTCCTCCAAGGCCTCTGCATCAGTCCCTGCCTCTGGAGTCCTGCCTTGAGTTTCTGCCCTGAAGTCTTTCGGTGGTAAGAGTATGACCCAAGAACTTTAAGTTAAAATAAACCACAACATCATCCATTTACTCAGTAAAGAACGCAGGCTGATTTCGTATCATGGTTCCTGCAAATGACGCTGCAATGAGCATGGGAAAGTACAGCTTCCACACACTCAAGATTTTGGGATATCCTCAAGACAAAGAACGCTTGATCATATTAATTCAACTTTTAGTCTTCTAAGGAACCTCCAAATGTGTTTTCCACACTGTACTAATTCACATTCCCACTAACTGCATAATGTTCTATCTTTTTCACAGAAGTATAAGCGAGGTAAAGGGGTCCAACTTTATTCTTTTGCATATACATATCCATTACTTCAAGCATTATCGCCTCTAATAGCTGTTTTGTCCCAATGAACTGTCTTGGAATTCATGTCCAGCCCCTCCCCCCCCCAAATTGGCCATAAATATAAAGATGCATTTCTTATTGGGGTGCATTATGTGAAACTTCCAAATAGTCAATATAAATATACTGGGAGGAAAAAACGTACAGGGTCCTAATAATACTAAAAGATCAAGAAAAAAAAAAGACTTCTTGACTCTCAATTACATCCCATTCATCTGTTTTCTTAATTACTGTAACTGAACACTTAGTTTTGAGACTAGGACATGAGTCATTCAATCTATTCTTTATCAAAAGTATTTTAGTGCTGGGTGGTGCCAGCACATGCCTTTAATCCCAGCACTTGGGAGGCTTAGGCAGGTGGATCTCAGTGACTTCAAGGCCAGTCTGGTATACAAAGTGAGTTCCAGGACAGTTAGGACTGTTACACAGAGAAACCCTGTCTTGAAAAACAAAACAAAACAACAACAACAACAAAGTATTTTAGCTATCAGCCTTTGCTTCATTAATAAATCTGTACTTGGGAACAAATTCCTATCCTTTCTGACTATTCTGTGCTTATATAAACCATTGACATAAAAGTGAAAAACCTTTTGTCTGCTATATATTCACAGAAACACAACATTAAAAAAATTTCTAGGTGAATCTCAGCTTAAGTGGAGTATTCCAGAAAGGAGTGTTAAGTAGGAAGAGGGATATCTTCAAAGTCCCGTGTTAAACAAAACCCCAAATGAGCAACAGTCCTGTTTCTGAAATTCTAAAAGTACCACTCTTTTTGAGACACACAGGACTTGATATATGCCTAGTTCTTGTCTAGGCATTTTAAAAAACCTTCTACAAGAATGTTTTGTGTCCTTATATGAATTCCACTACTTTTTTTCTAATCTTTAAGAAAAAAGCAGTACTGTTAATAACGTTAAGAGTTCAGTCTGAAATTAAAAATGGCTACTAAAAAGAAGTTACTACAGTGGTCTCAGCTGCAAAACCCAATTACACAGAGACTGGAAGAAGATGACCAACCACTGGCCTTTCCAACTACATTTAGACACAATAACATCGAGTCCTTATTTTCCCTTATATTAAAAGGAAAATCATTTTTATTATGAAATAGATCTTAAAATAATTTTAATCTCAGCAATTAACATTACTGGCTGCTCTTTCAGAGGATCCAGATTTAATTCCTGAACCCATGTGACAGCTCACAACAATCTGTAACCCCAGTTTGAGGATACAACAGATCTAATACTCTCTTCTAGCCTCTGAGATCACTATACATACATGCAATATACAAATGTACAAGCAGGCACTTATTTATTTATGGCCTGCTCCATACCACAGCAGGCTACATGACCTGCAATCCCTTTCTCCCTTTTTTATTCCTATGTGCGTGTGTACATGAAGGCACACCTAAGGTAGGTTCAGCAATCATCCTTGGTCACTATTCCACTATATCCATTTAAGCAGGGTCTCTCTCAATCTAAATCAGAGCTTTCAGATATAGATACTCTTCCTAACCAGCTTGCTCCGGGGTCTCTTGGCAGAAAATGCCAGGCCCAGGCAACATTCACAAACTCTGGTTCTTGTGCTTGTACAGTGCTTTAATGTCTGGATCATTTTCCCTTTTCCCACTGTTAAAATGTATTGTCTTGTTGTGTTGTATTGTTTGATTTTGAGGGTTATGTGTATATGGCATTTCTGGTTCAAAAGTATAACTCAACCATCTCACCTTGATTATTTCCACCAACTGATCCACACCACTGTCCCCAGGAAATATTGGTTGTCCTAGCAACAACTCAGCCAATACACATCCTGCAGACCATACATCTGAAGAAAAAAAAAAAAGTTTATAATACCATAATTTGAGGTGAAATTTGTATTTTATTTTGATTACATAGTATTGGTTATATCCAAATATGGCAATAATTTAGTCAGAATCAGTGATGGTTTCATTCCAAGTAATGTTAATTAAAAAAAAATCTATTCATATGTTTGAACCCTTTTTATTTTTTAACAAATAAGTATTTTTATAAGTATTCACCTTTTACAAATCTATTTTGTGTATGTGTGTGTGGGGGAAAGAATTGCAGAGAAAGAGAGAGAGAGACAGACAGACTCATTATGTAGCCCTAGGTTGGTTAGAATTCACAAGAGATCTGTCCACCTCTTCCTGTGTGCGGGACTGTATCAATCTTACACAGCCTTAGGAAGCAAGGTCAGGGCTGGAGAGATGGCTCATCCATTAAGAGCACTTGCTACTCTTGCAGAGAACCTAGTCAGGGCTGGAGAGATGGCTCATCCATTAAGAGCACTTGCTACTCTTGCAGAGAACCTAGTCAGGGCTGGAGAGATGGCTCATCCATTAAGAGCACTTGCTACTCTTGCAGAGAACCTAGTTAGATTCCCAACATCCACATGATGGCTCACAGCCATCCATAACTCCAGTTCTCAGAGATTCAACATCCTCTTTTGACCTCCACAGGCACTGAGTATTCAAGTGGTATGCATACATAAATGCAGGCATATGTGTGTATATATGTGGTATACATGCAGGCAAAACACTTATACACATAAATTTTTAAAAATTTAAGAAGCAAGAATCTTAGATCTGAAAATGGATCAAATCCATGTTTGTTAGGGTCCCAAAAGCCCTGGCTCACACAAACATTCTATAATGTGTCAGGAATTTGGTTGTAACTATTTTAGGTGAGCCTAGTATAATTCAGTCCAGTATCTTATTTATACATACATACATACATACATACATACATACATACATACATACGCACCACGCACGCACGCACGCACGCACGCACACACACACACAGAGAGAGAGAGAGAGAGAGAGAGAGAGAGAGAGAGAGAGAGAGCATAGATAACCAATATCAAACATTTGACTAAGACACTAATCATTAGATATCCGATAACATTCCCAAGGACAAAGAGTTAAAATTTGCTCTTGGGGACCACTGAGCTAATAAATATACTAAGAAAGTCTGTTACCTTCCATTCTTATACTGGCTCATTAACATTTTATTTTACTCCTCACAGCAACCATGAAAAGCAGGCAGAATTAGAAATGATCTTCATTTCACAGCTCAGATAGAGGACACCTGATGTCAGCCTCAGCTCCCCACCCTCACACAATTAATGTATGAAATAAAATAATTTTGTCCTTTTTCATCTAGCCTATCAATGCTGGTTTTGTCTTGCCATTCAGATTCAGCGAGTCATGGTCTTTGTGCTGACACAGCAACTGTACTAGAACAACACAAAGGCAATGAAGATTTCAACTGTCTTGAATCCTTCTATCATTAGACATCTCCCTCCACTGAAATTTTTAAACCAGCAAGTTTAGCTGAACAACTAATGAATTAAGTTAACCTAAAGTGATGTATTATGGTAGGAATTCAAAAATATTATTGCCCTATCAATTACAGTATTAACATTTTAAAAGTAACATTATTAATTAACCAATATTCTAACTAGGTATCAGGCTCAGAAGTAAATATTTCAGGAGAACTAGAAAACTAATACAGGACCCACAGATAGCTCAGTAGATAAAAATTCTTGCAGTGCAAGCCTGATGACCTGAGTTTGATCCAGAGAACCTATATAAGGGTAAAAGGAGGGAACAGACCCCAAAAATTGTCCTCTGACGGCTACATGCAAGCTGCATATAGCATATTTCTTCCTGTCATTGATCCCTGCCTCATTAATATTTTTAAAACACTTACCTGAAGAGTTACAGTATTTACACTTTACTTCAAACTTTAAGATCAAACAAATACATTAGCTAACTATAATGCAAATATTTTTAAAATTCTAATGCTAAAAAAGCATAATGGAAAGATATACATAAAATTCTAAAAGGTTAAAAACATTTAGTTGTATACATTTCTGCAAAAATATATTGCAGCCATGCCCTTTTCATGTCAGAGAAACTGTAAGAATCAGGGTGCAATTAACAGTTATAAACTGTATTCAGAGTCAGTACTTACCTATGCTAGAGGTATAATCAGTGGCTCCAAAGATCAACTCTGGTGCCCTATAGTACCGAGAACAGATATAGGAAACATTGGGTTCTCCTCGGACCAGCTGCTTTGCACTAATGAAAAAAATAAAAATAAAAAAAAGCAATCTTTAAATCCATACCTTAAAGAAACAAATACTCATATTCACACACCATATTTGTCTCAACCTCACAAGACTGCAATAATGCAACACACTTGCAACTGTTTTCAATGAAAGAAATACACAATTTCATCAAATTGATATAAGAAACAGTGATTTTTAAAGTAAGCATTTGTCAAGTGTTACCTAAGGAACAAAGAGATTAAAAGTTCAAAAGGATACACATGTTCAGTTTCTTCTGGTTCCATGTTTCCTAAATTCTACTTCTGAAATGTAAAAATGGTTGCAAGGCATGGCGATGCAACACCTTTAATCCCAACCCTCAGGAGACAGAGATAGTTGAGTCTCTGTGAGATGGAGGCCAGCCCAGTTTGCAGTGAGACTTATAAGGTCAGCCAGGGCTACACAGGAAGACCCTGTCCCAAAAAATAGTAAATAATTAAATATATAAAGATAAGGGGCAAGAAATTTAAAAGGAGCCTTCCCCAGCAAAAGAATGACAGTGGATCAGAATAAATGAATATATCAATACTCCTCACCAACACACTTTTTTAAAAAGGGTAATAACTGCCGACTGTTTTATATTTGACTTCTGACTCAGGATGGCCAGCTCAAGGCTTACACAACCAACCTATGCATGATTTGATATTTTAGTCAGTTTGCTATCTAACCACCTGTTTCTAAACAAACTGCAAAAAGGCATTCAACTTGAGGGGGAAAGTGACTCAGAACCTATCCATTCCATCCCTGCTATGCTGTTTACATATTATTGCAGCTTTGCTCCTGAAGTATTTTACAGTATATACACTTAAAACATTAAAGTGAATTACAGTTAGCATCTCTCAAATGTCTCTCAGATAACTCATTTCAAATCAGCAAGCCACACTGGGAGATGCACTGACAGCAGCGTCACAGACACAGGAGATAAATACAGGCAACAAAATCACAACAGAAAACATCTGAGGTAAGGAAGGGCACAGGAAGGCAAAGACACAGCCAGGGGAAAATGACCTTTCAACCTTAAAGTCTAGGCTTCCTTCCCCTCAATTTACTTTTAGTCAATGATGATGCTAAACTTAACTTGTTTTCCCTTCATTAGCAGTTTCACAATTTAACCTTCTAGGGCCCACATTAATGGTTATTAAACAACCATAATATTTTCAGGCTATCAGAAAATCAAGACACTTAGCTTTCAGTATAACTAATAATGGACTTTTCTATCTTCAGAAGTGCATTTTGGGGGCTTGGGATATAGCTCCTTGATAAAGCAGCTGCCTAGGATGTGACATTTAAAGTTCAGCTCCCAGACAAACAAACAAACAGCAGGAAACCTTGGCCATGCCTTAAGTCTCAACACTCTACTGGAAGGCAAAGGCAGTGGGTTTCTAGGACAGCCAGGACTACAGAGAGACTCTGTCTCAAAACCCAAACAAACAAGGTCCATTTTAAACTGACAAACAGATTCTTAAATTTCATAATAAGTTATTATGAAATAACTTCATAATAATTGTGAAATAAATAATAATTGTGAAATAAATTTCACAATAAGTTAAAATTCTATAACGGAATACTTTTACAGGCTGTATATTCTTCCCCTTCAATAACAATGAAGCAAATGAGAGGTTTTGACTCTCTGCCTTATGGCCTCACCTAATCTGGTCCTTAGACATGCCATGCTAGCCTTTCCAGCTACTGCCAGACCTTGTTTCAGCTACTAAAAAATTATTACAAAGAGAGTAAGGCTGTTTGGTTGAGTTTCTGCCACCCTAGTACCTAAGAGCATGAAGTGTCTCCAAAGTCCTGAGAGTTGGTAAGAATGAGCTGTTTCCACACCTGTGAAAGTTCCCTTTCCACTTATCAGACCAAAGCTACTTTACATCCCAAGAGAATCCCAGTGCTAATGGTGCTCTAACATGGTGATGAGAACAGGAACCCTAAGCACTTGGTGGCTCTTCTAGTACTTAGCAGTCACTTTCCACAGCAAGGTAATCGGTAGTATCAAACCCCATCTCATTTGGGCAGTGGTGCTCTGCTTCAACCATCAAACATGAGCTGTAGGTGCTTATTGTCAGCAGAGCCACAGCCTGCTGAGTGAGATACTGGGAGAGGGTTTGTAATCAGGAAATTGTAAAACAGGGATGTTTGAAAGAGGTGCACAATGAGACTAAGAATGAAATTACTGACAGAGCAGGTTTGCTCAGTTTCTTCAGGTACCTCCCTACACCCATGGGAAATATATCTGATGTTAAACACACAATTTAATCTGAGGTTGGTATAGAAGTCTATATAAAAGATGTGGAAATACAGTTGCCAGCAAGTATGGATTAATATATAATCTGTGGTGCTAAACTGAAAAAGAAGAATTTTTAACAAGTTTATAAAGACAGATGTATCAGAACAAAAAGAGGAGAGGTTCACTGGTGGCTATCGCAGATTAAGTGTGATGACCTGTCTTATTATGGAAAGGAGCTTGACTGCATCTTGGGAGGCTTACAGCTACTGACTACCGAAAAGGAAGTTTTTGCTACTAAGTTACAGTGTATGACCACGGAATCAAACTTAATACTGCTTCTCAATGATTTATCTCATTCTTAATTGAGGTTAAGGTGAAGCTAAAAGGATATATATATATATATCTTAACATAAGTATTTGTAATGAAAATGGAGCACACACACACTATATATATATATATAATATATATATATAATATATATATATATAATATATATATATATAATATATATATATATATATTCACAGTGTACTAAAGATCAATAAGAATGCAAGTTTCCCAAGTACGAAATAATCCTAAAATGGACATTTTAGGAGTAATCATGTATGGGATATTACATAACAATTCAGAAATGAGCCATGGTCATGCATGCCTGTTTGTACACAACAGTCACACCCAGTGTTTTTTCTTTTTTGATTTTTTTTAATTAGTTCAAATTAGGAACAAGCTTGTTTCACATGTCAATCCCTTCTCCCTCTCCCTCCCCTCACCCCCACCCCCACCCAGTGTTTTAAAACAAAAGCATACCACGCACACAATGCTGATGTGGCAGTGGCTTTCTTTTTGCACAGGGTTTCACTATGTGGCTTAGGCCAGACTCAAACTAATGGTCTCCGACACCTTAGTCTACTGAGCATGGATTATCAGCAGGTGTCATCACAGCCATCAAGCTTGAATGTTAGTACTCCTGTAGGGGTCAGGGGAAAACTTGCAGGACCAAGCAAGTTCCAAGGATCAAACTCAAATTGTCAGTCTTGATAGCAGGTGCCTTTCCCAAGTGAGCCATCTTGCTAGCCCTGACTTTTCTCACTTAACACCTCCTTGATGTCATTCCCATCCAGTTTAGACAGCTCCCTCATTTTTTACCCTCAGCGGCATGTATAACATTGTATTTGTATATATCAACTTATTTGGACATTTCATTGCTAGTAGATATTTAGTAACAATGCTATATTAAAGACACTAAACACACATAATCTCTCTGTAAATAGTTTTTAGAAGTTAACTGTAGGAGGAAAGGTACTCACATTTAGTATTCCAATAAAAATATCAAAACCATCCTCACAGGGAACTACATTAATTTATATCCCCTGAGTAAGGATTATAGGACCTAGGCTACCATTGCAATATATTTGAGTATGAGGGAAGTAAGAAAGCCAGCTCACCTTCCAAAGTCACAGAGTTTTAATACAGCTGTATCAGGATCCAACAAGAGGTTCTGTGGTTTAATATCTCGATGGCAGATTCCAAAGGAATGGATATAGGCTAAACTTCTGAACAGCTGATACATATACAACTGGAATAAATAATAGACATTAATTCAGCACCTCTGGTTTCAGACACAATTGTATCATTATGCAATAAACAAAGTAATAGTCTCAGCAGAACATGTACAACGCTGATGATTACTAGTACTGTTTTGCCTACACAAGCTTTCATGTTGTTTCCATAAACACTAGGAAATTAAAGTATCATTAAGCATATATTTGTGCTATCCTTTAGTAATTTAGAAAAGTATCTAGGCTTGGTGTCATACAACTGAGGCAGGGGAATTCTAAGTTTAAGGTCTACCTAGGAAACTTAGTGAAACCATATCTCAATCTAAAATTTAAAGAGGGCTAGGGATGTAGCTAAGCAGTAGAGCACTTGCTTAGCACACAAAAAAAGTCAGGGGTTCAATCCCTTTCACCCACTTTAACATCTCATCTGAAGTCAGCTGGATGAATTTTTTTACTTAAAACATCGATGAAGAGCTCAGAGGGAGAGACCGACCATAGTCTATGAGTGATAGATAGCAGCCTTTAGATGATAAACCATGTTCATTATTCTTTCTAGTATCTCAGGCTGTAAAAGCATAGTGTCATTTTTAGTATCATTTATCGTTCTGAAAGGTTAGTCTCCAAAATCATATAATAGAAGCCAGGAAAACTCACAGGTAAAGTAAGAAATCTAATCAATTGCCTTTTCAGACATCAGTAACTCTGCTAATAAGTAGTATTAATAACCTTCAGAATAATGTAGACTTGCAATGCCACCTAAAAACAGATGCCAGGGGGGTCTCTGAGTCCAAGGATGGCTTGGCCTATAGAGCAAATTTCAGAGCTCACACACGATATATCCTCTGAGAGTGACCCACTATCCCATGTTCTCTCACCTTGCTTTCCCTACCTCGATGCACCCTATCCTCCAGAACTATTAGGCCAAAATAAACCTTTCCTTCATTGAGTTGCCTTTGTCTGGAATTTTGTCAGAGCAACCAGAGAAATACCCTTAAAACTTTAAGAAAACATACCGATGTAACACCTTCAATATTCTATTTATTCCAAGGCCAGTGTTGTGACTCTTTCCCTTCGTTACTTCCTTTCTTCCTTATTTATTTATTTACTTATTATTTGTTTACTTATTTCTTAGTTATTGATTTATTCATTTTTAATCTCTTCCAGGACATACTACTCCTGTTGTATACAAGCTGGTCTTGATCCTGTCATTCTTTTGTCTTACTCCAAATTGCTAAGATTATAGATATGTACCACTACACTCAACCAGATTCATTTTAAATTTTTTCTACATGCTCACTTTCTGAGCTCTACTCCCTGATTAACACCATGGAAACAATTGCTGCAATGATTCCAATCAAAGACACAGTGTCTGACTAAGGAAAAAAAAAAAAAAATGAACAGCCAGACAATGGTGGGGTATGTCATTAATCCCAGCACTCAGGAGGCAGAGGCAGGCGGGTCTCTGTGAGGTTGAGGCCAGCCTGGTCTACAGGGTGAGTTCCAGGACAGCCTTCAAAGCTACACAGAGAAACCCTGTCTCAAAAAACAAAAACAAAACAACAAAAAGCCAATAAAAAGATTAAAGGTCAGCTGAGGTACTGACAAAAGACCCTGTCTTTTCTGGATATATTGTTGGGGACTGGCATTATTGAAGTTCACAGGAAAGCCACTTTTCTTTAGAAGCATAATGAAACTGCTAAGGCTGGACATGTTAACAGTACATGTTTAATGTGAATCTGAAATCAAGCTATGCAAGTTAGAGCCTTCTTCAAAATGAAGCATGACAAAAATGTATACCTAAGATCTTCAATGTCAACATTTTCTAATTAAATCAGAAGTAAAGCATTTAGATACCTATTAATCTTTTTAAAGGCTTTGTAACTATTATTGTATCATTGTTCATTTACAGAATCAAGTTTTAAGTTCCAAAGCTTACTCTGGTAGCTGAATTCATTATCTCCAACCAAATGATCTATAACCAAGAGAGTTCATGGGCATCAAAGGAAAGATTTAGCTGTTTCAGGGTATTAATATTTAGATTAACAAAACTCGGTGAAAGACATTTTCTTACAAAAGATGTCCTTAGCAGTTTAAGATTCATTTAAAGATATCTCATCACTGTTCTTTTTGTTTGTCTTGGAAAAGTAAAGTTTAAGAATGAAATGAGACTGCATCTTTTTTTTTTGGGGGGGGGGCCTTTGGTCTACTTTATAAAAATGTACTTTTATGAAGAAAGTTGAAAGGCTTCCTGCACTACAATGAGCAAAAGAACAACAGCACCAAAAACAACCAACACTGTGCTGGGTACCATCCTAAGGCTTGTGTTTAAAACTGACAAGTTTAAATTTGTACAATGAATGTAATAAGTGTCTACAAATGGTAATAAAGCATTAAATAAGTATATTAATAACTGTAAATTTACCTAGTAGGTTCCTGCTTTGGTGTGTGGCACAATGAAGACATCTAAAACTAAAATGATGTTATGGGGCTGGGAGATGTCTCACTGGGTTAGAGTATTTGCTGCACACACACGAAAACCTCAGTTTGGATTTCTGGCACCTGTGTAAAAAGGTGGGACTAGCTGCACTTGGCTGTTACCCCAGCACTGCATGGGGAGGGAGGTTCAGACCAGCCCAAGTCATAAGCTTATGTAAGAGGCCTTCTCAAGGCAAAGGTGGGAGGCTATGGGGAAGGGAGCACATCCTCCTCCTCTGGTCTTCACTTGTGCCTCACCCTGCACCCCACACACAAGGTGTTATGGCTATCACAATTAAAACCCCTAACCATGAAAGTTTAACTGCATCTTATCAGAATATCCATTTCAATTCACTTATCTCATGTGCATGTGTGTGCCAACATGATGTGTCTGAGGTGGGGCACATAAAACCTGGCATGCATGTGGAGGTTTAGAGGGCTCTATAGAGTTGGTTCTCTTCTACCTGTATGTACGTCCCATAGAACTCAAATGACCAGGCTTGCACAGCAAGCACCTTTATCCACTGCAGAGTAATGAAGGCTTTAAAGGGAACTCTATGTTTCAAAATCAAGTCAGAACTAACAAAATCTAGAGTTTGCTGCTTCTCTGAGGAGTAAAAGCAGTGTTGACAAGTTGAAACAAACCCAATACTCTGCGTGGTTCATATTAAATGTTTGGTAAACTGGAAGTCGTTCCATTGTTACACACCTTGACATAGATCACAGGGAGTGTCTGTTTGGCTCGACTATAGTGTCTGGCAACTCTATACACTGTTTCCGGAACATAGTCCAGCACCAGATTAAGGTAGACCTCATCTTTCTGAAAGAGAATGAAAGAACAACAACAAAATTAGAGACTGATCTTACATATTCAAATTAGAGTAAATTCTCCATACACCCACTTATTTTTAAAGAAAAATTTCATATGGTTCATTTTAATTATACAATTACTTTTGAACATAACCAGAACTGTACAAATGCATCTACCACACTTTATAATCCCGGTATTATTAAGATTCCTATCATGTGCTTATGCATGTGTTATAAGTTTATTACTTGTCATATCTTTTATTATTTTATAGGCTGAAAAACCAATGTCTCCCCTTAAATCAGGAAAGACAACCTGACGACAATGCGGAGTTGCTACTAGCCTGACTCTGCTGCAGATTGCTATGTATACATCACAATGTGCCCCAGCTTCAGCTTCTTCCACTCCTACAAAGGGCTGAGCTACGTATTCTTTGAAATGCTTTAACATCTCCACAATGTTCCTGTTTGCTGGACAGTCTAAAATTTGTAGAACAATCACTAGTACACAAAACAAAACTTATGGCAAGGAGATCATACTCACTGGCTTATCAAAGGCCTAGGTGTCAGTTTCTCTTTGTAGCATCATAAAGACAGGAATTCAGTGCCAGTCAAGAGAAACAAGAGGACAAAGCACTAGCCACACCCTGTTCTCTGAACAGCGCCAGTTAGGTAAACTGAGGCAGAAAATATAGCTGAGGATTACTATTGGCTACTGAGTGGTAAAACTGCAGACCAATGATCAATGATACTAATTCTAACAAACCCAAATAAATGACTTGTGTTGGGGCTCATGGAGTATCTCCTACAGGAGGAAAGTGGGTGCACGTATAAAGTTACCAAGCGTAACTCATTCCTCTACACCCCTCTCTTTGAATAAGGTGATATGTAATTTCTGCAATAACAATTCTAGTATTGCTGAAAAGTTCAAATCTAGTCTCCTGAGACTCAAAGCAAACTATTAGCTATGAGCTCTGGAAAAATCAAAACTAAGTTACATACTTTCAATACAACAGCGGGACAGGCACAGGTTAACATCCCTGTTGCAAGGGGAAAGAATAGTACAAAACCAAATTCAAACAAGGAAAGGATTAAAATCTTAGACCTAGGGTATTCAACCCCCAACCCCCACCACACCTTTCCACAAAGTTATTTTCAGGCTGTTAAAGGCCTTACCACAACTGACAACCTGAAAATACAGCTGATATTGGCCAAATCCTCTTAAGTTGTGAGTTAAAATAATTTACATTGTTTTCCACAGGTTATTTTTTGTCACACCAGTGTTTTGAAAGCTAACGCCATGTATGATTTCATTTATTAGAATTTGAAGAAACAAATGTCGACAATGGTTAAGTAACAAATGTAAAGGTGTAGCCAGACTCTGAATACAGCAAGGAATAGTGAGTAAGTGGTAAATCAGTCTAAGACATAACTAAACACATTCACAAACAATTCCCAAATGCGCTAACCAAATACAAGTACAGGAGATACGCTTGAAGTGTCTCATTTTACCCAGCCATCTAAAACTGACACCGCCAGGAAGAATGGCTGAAAATGGAAGACCAAGTACGAACTGTAAGGCCTCTCATAGGCCATATTGATCTACTGAACTCTTAACGTGAAATTTAACCTTATAATGAAAACTCAGAGCATCAATACACAAAGACAGATCAGAAAAATCAAGAAACAGGACAGCCATTGGGAAAGTAAATGACAGGTGTAACTGAACAAAGCTGAACAGGAATCAACGAGATACTTCTAATGAAATGAAACACATGAGGCTCAGAAGAAGGGCTAGGCTCAGATCAATAAAGACAATTCCACTCTGCTCTGTATCGTTCAGGTCTCATTACAAAACAAAGTACTGACAAAAATCCCTTTTTAGGTTATACTGTTCAACAAAGCAGAATACACCAAAGGGCGGTAAATAAAATCATGTCTGCTAGAGGGTCAATACTCCAATTTATTATTATATCATGAGAAACATGAAGCTTAAATAAGGGTATTTGTTAAATTAATAAATGTTTTAATGCAAATTAAATAATCATGGTATTAACCCATGGAGTGAGAGTATTCAACCCCAGAAAACATGGGAAGAAAAGTGGTATTTTGCATCCTATTTGGAGGTTCCTGTAAAGATTATTCAGGTGACTCATATTTAATATGACAGTATCTCAAGAAGAAAGAAGGCCCAGGATTCTGCACTTCTGGCACTTGTAATTTTCTGAAATGCAGGTTTGCTGGGATCTCAAAATAATCTCCTTTGAGTCACCAGAAAATTCAGCAATTGGATGTAAATTTAAAGCTAATGACAAAAATACAGAGAGAATATGGCTTACAATGCAGAAGCTCACCAGCACAACAAATCCCCACCCTCAGAGCTGCTGCCGAGCCTCAGGACTGTTTCACAGATTCTGTGAAAGCATCTCCTGTACAAACTGGATCTTGCTGAGAAACTACCCACACTTCCATAATGTGTAATTTATGGAGTATTTCTCCACAGTTTCCCAATTCATCACTGCCCCCTGATCACTGATATCCGGTCCTCTCTGGATGTTGAATTTAAGCCACACTACTTGGACATTTAAATGGCATGGTTTAATATCACCTAGCAGCAGGGACAGGGACAGACTTCAGCTTATCGTTGTAAAACTGATAGTACTAAGAAGCTCCTGTCCCCAGTTGACTGGCGAGGTCAAGGAAATAAAACAGCTTGAGGCTGAAGCTTTAAATAGACAATATTATTCTGAAATGTTCATGGGAAGCAAAGCAGCATGTCAGAGAGATTATGATAAGACATCCAACCCAGCATCATGGCAGCCCTACACTCTTAGAATCGGTGATGGAATTTTAGCTAGCAAAAAACTCGTAAGCAGTTGTCTTTCCTCTGATGGGTTACAGGGCTAGCACAAGACAGGCACTAGAGCAACAGTAAGGATTAACGGACAATCTTTTTGCTTAGAAAGCTGTGGTTTGAATGAGCAATGTGCCCCATAGGCTTGCGTGTTTAAACCCTTGGTCCTCAGCTGGTGGCATGGTTTAGCAAAGTTATGGAACCTTTAGGAGGCAGAGCCCTGGTGGAGGCAGTATTTCACTAAAGGCAGAGTTGCAGGTTTAGTAGCCTGAGCCCAGTTTCTGTTCTCTTTCTCTGTTTCCCCAGTGCAGATGAAATGTAATCCTTTTGCTTCCTAGATAACAGACTGCCTCCTACTGCCAACACCTTTCTGGCCATCAGTGGACAGTTTCCCCTCTAGAACTATAAGTCAAAACAAACTGTGTCTCCCCTATGCTGTTTTTTTTTTTTTTTTTTGCCAGGGTAGTTTACAACAACAGCAGCAGCAGCAGCAGCAGCAGCAGCAACAACAACAAAAAAGGAACTAACACAGGAGGTAACCATCTAATAAAAAAAAAAAAAAGGGCAAACTTCTAAAAGATTTGTGTGGGGAAAAATGAACTTACAAGTAACCTTTGGAGAAGGGAGCAGCTCTAAGACATTAAAAAAAGAGCAGAGAAAGGGTACACCTTTAATCCCAAAACCAATTGAGGCAGAGAACCAATGAGAGTTTAAGGCCAGCCTGGTCTACATAGCTAGAGAAATGTATCTCAAAATAAATAAATAAATAAATAAATAAATAAATAAATAAATATGATTACATACAAATACAAAACTCATGCTACTTAAAACCAAAACCACACAGACCATGCCCCTCTAAATCTCTACTACACCCAACAAACGACCAAGTAATTCATTTTTATTTAAAGTATTTACAGACAATAAGAAAACACAAATATCAAAAATGAAGAAAAATGTCAAACTTCACTCATACTTACAGTAATAAAAATATAACAAGCTACAATTTCTTACCTCTCAAATGAGAAAGGAAAATTCAATTTGAGAAAAGCAGGCATTAGAAAAGGTCACTGTCTAATACGTACCACCACCATACGCCCTGGTAAGCCTAAGCTCATGGAACTTTTAAAATGAGAAGCTGGTGAGTTAATACACTCAAGCAAAAGGGATGCTATACAGAACCAGCTGTGACTTAGCAATGCCATTTCTTGGAACTGTCCAGTAAAACTATTGTGTGCCTATGTGTGTGTGTAGTACCCTTATGTATGGACAACATGACATGTTTATGAAGAGTAAGGAATTAAGACTAATCTACATGCCTTATGTCTTAGTCAGCTTTCTGCTGCTGGGATGAAGTTTACCATCAAAAGCAACTTGGGGAGGGGTTTGTTTTAGCTTACAACTCTCAGGTCACACTCCATCACTGAGGGAAGTCAAGGCAGAACCCAATGCAGGAAATGGGAGGCAGAAGCTGAAGCAGAAGCCATGGAGGAACACTGCTTACCGGCTTACTCAGTTTTCTTATACACTGCAGGACCCAGGGCTAGCACCACACATAATGGAGTGGACCCTCCTACAACAATCTTCAATCAAGAAAATGCCCAACATTTTTGCAGTTTTTCCCCCCTTTGGAGACTGGACCTCTCATAGCACAGGCTAGCCTTGAACCCTCAAGATTAGACCAGGATGTCCTTGAACTCCTGATCTTTCTGCCTAGGCGTCTTGAATGCTTAAGACTGCAAGTGTGTGCTATGGTGTACTTTTGTGTTTATACTTAGAGACAAATGTATATCTGAGATTGCCATGTACAAAATCTTAGTAAGGGTTTCAATTGCTTTGATCAAACACCATGACTGAAAGCAACATGGGGAGGGGTTTGTTTCAGCTCACAACTCTCAGGTTATACACCATCATAAGGCCAGAACTGGATGCAGAGACCATGGAGAAATGCTGCTTCCTGTCATGTATGGCTTGTTCTACCTGCTTTCTTGTACAACATAGGAATACTTGCCCAGGGTTGGAACTACCCATAATGGGCTGGGCCCTTCTGCATCAATCATTAATTAAGAAATGCCTCACAGACTTCCTAAAGGCTAATCTTACAGAGGCATTTTTCTCAATGGAAAGTCTCTCTTCCCAAATGACTCCAGCTTGTATCATGC